CTAAAAACGCCTTACTATACATGGTCGTTTTTTTTTCATCTAAAAACGCCTTACTATACATGGTCGTTTTTTGGGGTTTAAAACGCCTTACTATCCATCGTCATTTTTTTCAGGTTAAAACGCCTTACCATACATGGTCGTTTTGTTCGGCTAAAAACGCCTTACTATACATGGTCGTTCTTTTGGGCTCAAAACACCTTACTATACATTGTCGTTTTTTTTCGGCTAAAAACACCTTACTATACATGGTCGTTTTTTTTGGCTAAAAACGCCTTGCTATATATTGTCGTTTTTTGGGGGTTAAAACGCCTTACTATACATGGTCGTTTTTTTTTCTGACAAAAACGCCTTACTATACATGGTCGTTTTTTTCAGGTTAAAACGCCTTACTATACATGGTCGTTTTTTTCGGGTTAAAACGCCTGACTGTACATGGTCGTTTTTTTTGGCTAAAAACGCCTTACTATACGTCAGTGGTGTACGAACACTCGGTGTCGGGTCATTGTTGCTTTGTGCTACTGTCATGTTTGTTTGTTGCTGTTTGCTGGCTGCTGTCATGTTTGTTTCAGTCAGGTTTTGGTCATGTTTTATCTTCGGTCATGTGTTTTGTTTGATACTTTGGACTTTGTTTGTTTTGGATTTAGTTTTCTGAGTTTTAATACAATCTTTCAAGTACACCTTGCTCCTCCCTCCTGCCTGCTTTTTTTGGGGTCCACCACCTCGCTTCGTGACATATACATGGTGGTTTTTTTCATGTTAAAACGCCTTACTATACATGGTCGTTTTTTTTTGGGTTAAAACGCCTGACTATACATGGTCGTTTTTTTCGGGTTAAACGCCTTACCATACATGGTCGTTTTTTTCCGCTAAACGCTTTACTACACAAGACCGTTTTTTTCGGCTACAAACGCCTTACTATACATGGTCGTTTTTTTTCCGCTAAAAACGCCTTACTATACATGGTTGTTTGTTTCGGGTTAAAACGCCTTACGATACATGGTCGTTTTTTT